ACAGACTCTTGCTGGGAAGACTGCAGCCCGGCGTCAACAGGACGGAAGCCTGACCCTCCTGCTCAAAAGTAAATGCGTGCGTGAGAGACAGGATGCAGTGCCTGCGACTGTGAAAGCAGAGCAACAAATCCAGAAAAGCACTGTAAGACAAATGGTGTTGGCGATGGTCCTCTGGATTTGACCCTCAAAGCACAGACAACGAGGCAGAAATCAGGTGAATCAGACTTCATCAAACTGAGGCGTTTTCCCACGCAAGAGACATGAGCAGAAGACAGAAGCAGGGAGTATTTGCAGACTGTTCACCTGATAAAGGATTAATGCTCAGAACGATGTAAAGGACTTAAAAGGAAACTTTTTCCCCCAAAGAAGCAAGCAATCTAACTAAAATGTACTGATGGCCCAGACAGACACCGCGCAGGAGGTGAGACACAAATGGCCCACGGGTTCCTAAACACACACGGCATCATTAGCCACAGGAGAAACCGAAGCAAACCCAGTGAAGATGCCGCCTCACTCCACGAGAGCCGCTGTCATGAAGGCAAAGACCATCAAGTGCCGACCAGGGTGGAGAAAAGCGAACTCTCCCACTGCTTGTAGAAATGCGAACAGCGCCGCCAGGGAGGACCGCGTGGAAGTAAGCGCTTCAAACGCTTAAAAAGCGACGGTCCGGCTCGACCATCACTTCTAGATGTGAATCCAAACTATGAAGTGTACTATAGTACTATTCACATTAGCAAAGACATTGCAGAATCAACTCCGGCGTGCACACATGAATAGATGAGGAAAAACGTGGTCTCTGTACAGTAGGAGACTATTTACCATGAAGAAGGAGCTCATTCCCAGGGAAACGGGTAAATGGGAGGGGATACATGATCCTAAACTGACATTATTTTATCCGAGTGCAGAAGGGTGATGATTTAAGGTGAGGAAGCATGGGGGGAAGGGCGAAGGAAAGCTGGCTAACGGACACCCACGCACAGTCAGACAGGAGGAACAAGTTTTGATGTCCCACAGCACAATGGGATGTGTACAGTTCATAACGGGAAGTGTGTAGTCTTGTGGGCTTGCTTTTGTAAGTACCTGACTAACCTTAATTCTCTGGGATTCCCAGGTATGAACTTGACTAGAGTCCACTCTCCTGGTCAATATTAAATAAAGCTTGCTCTCATCAGACAATCATGGATTTTGTCTTTCTGTCTGCTGACAAACAAAGTCTTCACGCTACACTTTGGGCAACTAAGCATTATTAATGATAATTTTTTAAGTTACTATCTTCTTATTTTATTTATAACAGAAATTATGAATTTTCAGGTTCAAGGTGTAAGCACAGAAAATGTGCATTTTAGAAACTCAGACACAAAATATGAAAGGTAAGAAATGAAAGTTTCTTTTTTAAACTTAGATTCGGGGTTATAAATGTTCAGCCTTAAGGTAAACTTAAGATATTTCTATTGGCAAGGAGAGAAAAGGGAAAACACTGTACTTTGAAGTGGAAGGGTTTCTGTCTGCATTTTTTATGAAACAGCAAAGAGCCATAATGATATTTTTCCATTTTAAAAAGAATGCTAAGGGGCAAACAAAGCAAAAATACAAACACTGATATGTTCCACTAAGTTAGAAGAACCACCACCGCCCCCCAGTTTAACATGTAGAACCAAAATGATCAATTTCCTTTTGAGAAATTACATGAGAAATAGATTCTATAAATCACTGAAATAAAATGTGTTTATTAATGTATAAAAGATGGAAATTTTGAATAATTTATAAGCCAAAGCCACAAGTCTGTCTTCAGTTTTTGTGCTAAACATAGAGGTGGAAATACCTGTTTTAAGTCATTATCCACAGCAAATGATGCTTCAGCATGGAGGCTCCCAATATTTTCACACTGAAATCAGAGTGCTCTGTTGTGCTGAAGCAACCATCTTCACCTACTGTCTGGTCCCCAAGAAAATGAGGACAATTGGCTGAGGTGCCCATTGGCATATCAAAGTACATGCTTGCCCCCAGACCAAGCTCACTAGGTGCCTATGACTCCTCCCTGCTCCTCTCACCCCAGCTCCCTCTCCAAGCCTTTCCAGCCCTGAGGCTTCACTTCCCTTCCCCCACCTCCACTCATATCTTGTAATATCTTGTATTTTGGTTTTGTTTCCATCGAAGTGCTAATTTACATTTTATTTGTATTTTCACCCAACTGTTGCTCAAAAGTACGTTAATTCCCAAACTTTTAGAAATTTCAAAATTTGTTGTTTTGGAGGTTGGGAGGGAACTTGGCAATTTTTTAAGCTTTTTAGATTTTTTTCAAAGATTATTTTTGACCTAATCTGATTAACACAGATATAACGATATTCGATGCTATATATGGAAAACAATATATTTATTTCCCAGAGAGAGAGAGTCGCACAGACCAGGAGTTAGAAGCCTGCCTGGCTTCCAGGAGAAAAAAAAAAGGGGGAGGTCCTTTTCCTTTCACTTCCTTTTATCTCTACCTGTGCTAATTTACTTGTCCCCGCCCTGATGGGCAGATAGCTTTGTGGGGTCCTACACACAGAAAAGTTTCTATGACACTTGAAAAGAAACTAAATTATACTATTGTTGGGTACAGTGTATCTGTTGGACATATCTGATCTAGTATTATTCAAACCCAGTTTTTTGATATTGATCTATCAGACTCTTATGCCTACTGCTGAATGCTATTGAAATATCTATTACTATTATTTTTCTGTCATTTTCTGTCATCAGGTTCATCAATGTTGTCTTCATATATTTATAACTAATATCGAGTGCATATGCATTTATAAAATCTAGATTTTTCTCATGGATTGGTCCTTTTAGTATTACACATTTTGCTTCGTGTGACAGTTTGCTACCTAATAGCTATTCTGTTAGGTAGATGATAGATAGATACAAAGATAGATAGATAGATATGATAAATAGATGTACATATAGATAGGTGATTGATAGATAGATAGATATAGATAGAAGATAGTTAGATAGATAGAGATGATAGATAGATAGATAGATAGATAGATAGATAGATAGATGTACATATAGATAGATGGTAGATAGATAGACGTAGATATAGATGATAGATATAGATAGATGATCCATAGATAGATAGATAGATAGATAGATAGATAGATAGATAGATAGATGGACGATAGATCTACCTATAGACAGATGGGTCTGCCTATAGGTAGATAGATGATAAACAGATAAGTAGATACCTTTATTAATGCTGATTTCTTGCATCTCAGGTCCTTTTCTATCCCATCCACACTACTTAAATAAGCAGACCAAACATATTTTTACAAACAAAACTAATCAGTGGGAAAAAATAGAGTCTTAAAGCCAGCGTCACAAGTAATGTGAAAACAAAGAACAATTCTGAGTAGGAATAAGGAGAAAGAAAGGCCCACATTCAGGATGTTAATCAATTTACAGAGATATGCTGACACTACAGCATGTAAGGGAAAGGAAAGGAAATTAAAGCATAAAAACCAAGAAGGAAAACTCAACCCTTTGTACTTGATAAAACTGTGTAGCTAGAAAGCCACTCTCTAAAGGAATTACTAAGAGTCTCTGCCAATCAGTCTACACAACATCACAGCCTGGAACACATGAGGAACAACTATAGAGGCTAAATATGGAGAAAATGTTATATTAAAAACTGCACAGATGAAATATTTAGCAATGAACTTATCCAGAGAAATATATATGTAAGTTCAAATATTACTAAAGATCACAAAAGAGTGCCATTTTCAATCCATAATCCTATGTGCATTCAGGTACTTCCTTTTTGTAGAGGCAACTCTGTATTTTTTTAAATATTCAGTAGACATTAAAAAATCAGTAATGTTTTAGTCAAGTAATAAATTAAGATAAATACTTAAGAAAAGTCATTTGCAGTAATGGGAATAAAATGCATAATTAAATCTAAATTTATAGATACATTATCAGCAGCAATTTAGACCAGCTAAACTTATTCACTGTGTTCAGATCAGGACACATAGGGAAATGACTCAAAATAAAGCCTATCAAGAATAATTTCCAAAACATGGAGAAGAGACAGCAGGTATGATGTTTAAATAACCAGCTGTGTCAGGTATCAAAGTTCAAAGTTCGATCTAACAATTATCAGGCTTCCACAAATACCCTGCTCAACTAAAACATCAAAGAAACTGTTAAAAAATTTATACGTATGAGTTCTGTGTGACATTGTCAAAATTAATAGTAAAAATATGTAATATAATGTATTCTTTCAATGAGCTGGGCTGAAGAATAAATAAACTCTTCCTCTCTCGAATAAAGCTTTACAGGAGTTTAACAATGTAAATCATAGCCCATCGTATAAATCCACAATGAGATTCTTCGTGTTTTTTTCAGTACACCAGAAGAGGAGTAGAGAAAATATCTAAGGTACATTTATCATAAGTAGCTTGAGACCCTGAAGATACCTCTCATTGAAGACATGGCAAATACATATGGAAAATCGTTTCCCTATATCAATGTATCCCAGTTCTTCCCTTTCCCAAGACATTGGGAGTAGATTTAAAAGACGTCTGCAAGTGTTTAAAGCATAACCCATAATTATTATCCTTATACTTACAACTTCTCAGATGAATGTTGTTGAAGACTATTAGACCACCTGTATTTAATGCACATTCAACATATACACATATACATCCAAATATGTCTAAAATAGAAGCCTTAAGTCTTTTGAACACTGGGTGTGTTCTCGTTTTTTTACTTGTATTCTTCCTACACAAGAATCACATTGACAGGGTTTGGCATCATGGGCCACTATCTATTGCAAACAGAGGAGATCACTCCTGAGAAGGCTGCAGTTTTCTCAAGAAGAGCCTCCTGGAGGATGAGACCCTCAGGACGCGGCTGCCCCGGGAACTGAGAAGGAGAAGCCGAGTTAGGAAAGATTCCACCTGACCACAGGTTCTCTAACAGTGAGCTGCCGCTGAGGTGGTAACACAGCACGGTTCACTTACTTTACACAAAAGCGAAGGACTCTCTTGCGGGCGGGCGCCTGTGTCTGGGCTGTGTGTTTCCTTGGCCGACCGACCTCTGCGGGCCTCTTTGAGGACAGCACTCGGGCAGCGTCCAGGGAGGGGAAGAAGAGCTTGGAGAGTGTGCTGGCGACTCTCCACCCGACGTACTTCGAGAAAACTTCTTCTCCGAGGTTTGGTACAACTTTTGTGCTGTACCTAGTGAACGGGTCAACTGGCTCGTTTAATTCAGCCTGGTGAAAGGAAAGAGCGGGGGAGGGTCGATGGAAGAAAACTCTCAGCTAGTTAATAAAAGATGAGGTGCGCCCATTTTCTGTTTCTCTCTCCTCTCCTCTCTCTCTCTCTCTCTCTCTCTCTCTCTCTCTCTCTCTCTCTCTCTCTCTCTCTCTCTCTCTCTCTCTCTCTCTCTCTCTCTCTCTCTCTCTCTCTCTCTCTTCTCTCTCCCCCTCCCCCTCCCCTCTCTCTCCCTCCCCCTCCCCCTCCCCCCTCTCTCTCAGGGCCAGGGAAGGGTAAGGGTTCTTGACACAAACACTGACTATCTGACCATGACCTGAGTTTGACCCTCAAGACTCTTGGACTTCTACTACGGGTTGTCCTCCGACCTCCACAGACAGACCTTTGCGCGGGCACACACAGCGTGTGCAACACACACACACACATATACACAAATAAATAAAGGTAATTAAAACTTTGTAAAAATAACCTTTGCAGTAAAAAGGTTTCCCCCGAATTAAAAAAAAAAAGGAACAAAGCAATGTTCAGTTAAAAAAAAAAAAGAACACTTGTGTTCACAGTTAGGTAATTTTTTAAGGTAATGATAAAATTAACATTTTAAATATAATACACTTAACGTACAAGAGTTCCAAAAACACAAGTGCATGAAGTGCTGTATACTTTATTATGCGATATTTTCTTTACTCTGCTTATGCCTTAAACCCCCATTAAAGAGAACAGAACGCTTCTATGGAATGGATTTTTAAATCAAAAGAAATGTAGGAACAAGAGCTTTCCATTTAACTACAATTGAAAATATCCTAGGATTTTTATTCATTGTTTTTTATTACTTTACGGACATACAAAACATGAAAAGTACTCTGCTGGCTAGATTCATGTCAACTTGACACAAACTGTTGTCATCTGAGAGGAGGGAGCCTCAATTAACAAACGCCTTCATAACATAACGGCTGTGGGCAAGCCTGTAGAGCATTTTCTTAATTAGTGATTGATGGGGGAGGGCCCAGCCCATCGTGGGCTGGTGGTCCTGGGTAGAAAGCATGTCGAGACGAGGAGGAAGTCAGTGAGCAGCACCCCCCATGACCTCCACATCTCTCCTGACTCACAGATCCTGCCCTGCTTGAGTTCCTGTCCTGCATATTTTTCATTGCTTTGATTTTGCATCATGATTTGTGTTTATGTGGCCGGGTATACAAATGTTACCAGTTATCCTGTCTTCATTGTAAGAAACACTAAGACATCAAAAGGTAATTGGTAAAGGCACAAAGCACAAAATTCAAAAAAGCTAAATCTGACTAATATCTAATAACCAACCCCTAGCATATTGACATACTTAAGAATATTCACTTAATAAATATATCATTTTGTGTCAACCATTATGCTAGCCTATGAAACTACATTAATAACAGCAAACCCTGCCTGTATTCTCATTATACAGGTAAACATAATAATAATCTAATAATTTTGAGATACTTCTGTTTTGCCATTGTTGATAGGGAAGCATTGAACTGGCGAGTTGGTGACCACACAATGTAATGTAGACAACTGTTTGGCAATAAAAAGATATCCATTTGTATCATTTCTAGAGATTTCTGCTAAGAAAATGATTAAAAATGATAAAATAATAATAAAAAAGCTCACCGGGCAGTGGTGGTGCACGCCTTTAATCTCAGCACTCGGGAGGCAGAGGCAGGCAGATCTCTGTGAGTTCAAGGCCGGGCTAGACAGACAGCCTCCAAAACAATACAGAGAAACCCTGTCTTGTAAAACCAAAAATAATAATAATAATAATGATAAAAAAAGCTCCTGTCCTGACTCCTTCAGTGATGAACAGCGATGTTGAAGTATAAGCAGAATAAACCCTTTCCTCCTCAACTTGCTATTTTGGTCCTGGAGTTTCATCAAAGCAACAGAAACCCTCACTAAGACAACGATGCATATTAATCAGGTACCATGTTGTATTTCAAAGCTTACAGATCCTAATTAGTGGCACATGCCAAAGGCAGGGCAGAAAAGTTCCAAAGCATTTTACAAACTCTATTCAAATTGAGATACTGTTTAGATACTAAGACTGACTACTATAAACACTTTTTAAATGTCCAAGAGGCTCATTTTCTTTGGCTTGACTCGGTGATAGCAAAGGGAGATTTTAGTAGAATTTCACATGTTGCATTTTACAGGTGTTCACGATATAAGTCGGGTGCACTTTATCTTTATTAATTACAGTTTAAGTTTTACTGAGCAGTTTTGTTCCCCGCACAGCTCTTTACCACCACTTGGAGTTCATTTTAGAGGCCCGAGCATCTGCTTTAACATTTATAGGAGTAGTTGGAGCTGAGCATGAGGACAGAGTTTTGACCCCCCAGGATCCAAGCAAAAAAATAATAACAATAACCTTCCCTTTGTAATGAACTGCGGTGAACCCAGAGATTCCTGGATGCTCAGTTGTGGGCAATACATGACAGTTGGGAGCTCAGCTCTAAAAATGGCCATTTGAACCATCCTCCTGAAGGCTTGGGAAAGCCAGGGAAAGGATCCACAAACTACTCCGTACTTGGCGTGACACAACCATCCCAATAATGGCCTTTTCACAGTTTTGGCTGCCTGCACTACACCTACACAAGACTGGGCATGTCATTACTCGGTGATGGATGGGGAGTTGTCGGGGATAGGAGGGAAATAGGCGTGTGAGTGACTGAGAACAACCTAGATGTATTATGTACATACATGAAATTGCCAAAGAAAACTTCTACAAAATAATGTTTTAAAGTTTAAGTTTGAAAACTCCCACGCAAGTCTATCATTCAAATGAACTACTATGAACATACTGAATTGCTGATCTAAGATTTTATTTCATGTATGTGTGAACATAAATATGCTTTATGTGTCTAAAAAAAGCACATGAAATCTTGATTGTAAGGGAGGAGTAACCTCAGAAGATCTTCTTAGGCCATGGTGAATACAGTTGATAACTGTGTCATATTTTCTTTAAAACTGCTGAGAGGAGACTCATGTTAACCACGTGAGGCATGCTAGTTGGCTTGATCTAGTTATTCCGCAGTATAGATAAATTTCAATGAACTGTATTGCACGTAAAAGTATATACAATTCCACCAACTAAAAAATGAAATTAAATGTAAATGGCATCATCAGAGTAGGGAAACTTATTGTGCTGTTTCAGAAAAAAAAGACTTTTTCAATAACTCTCATTGAAATATATCCACTTTTAAAGCATTTAAGTTCAAGTATGTCTAGATGCTGTGACCAGTACACTGTTATGTTCAGATCACTACAGCTGAGCTGAATCAACTGTCTACTAACGGGAAATCCTGGACGGAGGATCCAGTCTGAGACAAGAGGCCAAACTGTCTGACAGGATAGCTGTCTCGATGTGTCACAAGAGAGTCCACACAGTCGTTGCATCTAGCTTGAATTCTGGACACTCTGTCCACCAGAGGCTGGGCCTCCCTGCTGCAAAGAGCCCAAAATTCATCTTTGGGAGACCATTTTTCTTAGACGGACCCATGCTAAAAAAGAGCACCAACAGTGATGTTCAGGACATTATTTATTACTTTGGAATCAAAGGCTTCCTCTGTAAGATGCCAGTCACACCTGGACTGTGTCTTCAACTTAGCACCTGTATTAATTCTCATTAGAAAAGACACTTTAAAGGAAGTATATAGTAACATACATTGTAGCACACATGTAAGCCTTTACTGTGATAAGTGAATAAAAGAATAAACAAGTATCAAGACAGCAAAAACAATGTCTTCTTATAACATCATGTGTGGAAAAACACATTTATAACGATATTCGAAGCTATATAGGGAAAACAATATATTTATTTACCAGAGAGAGAGGGAGAGAGAGAGAGAGAGAGAGAGAGAGAGAGAGAGAGAGAGAGAGAGAGAGAGAGAGAGTCGCACAGACCAGGAGTTAGAAGCCTGGCTGGCTTCCAGGAGAAAAAGGAAGCCCCTTTTCCTTTCACTTCCTTTTATCTCTACCTTGACCCCTGTTGGGCGGATAGCTTTGTGGGGTTCACTCCTACACACATTGTTATGGAAGGCTGCATTACTCTAGCCCTATAGTTTTGATGCTGTTTCCATCATGTCTCATTTGAATGTTCCTCATTTTTTTCTTTTTTTAATTTATTTTTATGTAAATTACAAACAAGCCTGTTTCACATGTCAATCCCAGCTCCCCTCCTCCTCCACCCCTCACTAACTCCCCTCCCCAAAGTGTGAGGCCTTCCATGGGGGATCCCCAAAGTCTGTTATATCATCTGGGGCAGGACCTAGGCCCTCCCCCATGTGTCCAGGCTGAGAGAGCATCCTTCCATGTGGAATGGGCTTCCAAAGTTCATTCGTATGCCAGGGATAAATACTGATCTACTACCAGAGGCCCTGTAGATTGCCTAGGCCTCCTCACTGACATCCATGTTCAGAGGGTATGGATGAGTCCCATGCTGGCCTCCCTGTCATCAGTCTGGGGTCCATAAGCAGCCCCTTGTTAAGGTCAGCTGTCTCTGTGGGTTTCACCAGCCCGGTCTTGACCCCTTTGCCCATCACTCCTCCCTCTCTATCACTGGATTCCAAGAGTTCAGTTCAGTGTTTAGCTGTAGATGTCTGCCTCTGATTCCATCAGCCACTGGATGAAGGCTCTAGGATGGCATATAAGGTAGTCATCAATCTCATTATCAGGGAGCAGCATTTAAGGTAACCTCTCCACTATTGCTTAGATTGCCAGTTGATGTCATCCTTGTAGATCTCTGGAAATATCCCTAGTGCCAGATCTCAAACCTATAATGGCTCCTTCTATTTTGGTATCTCTCATCCTGCTCTCCTCTATTCTTCGCCCGACTCAACCTTCATGCTCCCCCATTTCCTCCTCTCCATTCCTCTTCTCCCCCTCTCTTTTTCCCAGCTCCCTCTCCCCTCGCCCCATGCTCCCAATCCACTCAAAAGATACTGTCCCCTTTCCCTTCTCCAGGATACCATGT